GTACGGCCCGGCCCACGATGGACAAGAACAAGATGCATGCTGTGAGAGCAAAATAGACGGCGCACCCTTCAGTTAAATTCGTAAGTGAATGTGGGTACTACGGCCATATAAAAGTTTTTACCACACTGGGAAAAAACATTTTGGTACGGTCCTTCGGGTATTAAGTAACGCCAAGAAATATTATTCATTTAAAAAAATATAGTCTTCGTTGATCAGAAAAACAAATAAAGAAAACAACAAATTCTCACTGTTCACAAATGTATATTTTTGAAATTTCAACTATTAAATTCAAAATGTACAACAAATATTCCTAAAATATATAATTTAAGGTATGGCAGGATGATGAAATGTAAACACAAACAGCTCTGAATCTAGAGCAGGGCCTCAATTCTCGTTCTATGAAAATGTGCTGTCGGATATTTTTATGAATACACCGTAAGAAATATTGCAGCACATTAATATATATCTTACTACATATTTGAAACAAATATTTCCGAAATTGTGAAAATTACAACTTTTAAGATTTATTTTTTTCGTTTGAATTCTATTTGTCAAAATTCGCATGTTAGGAATAGAAATTCATTTCATATTATTAGATGTTGTTTTAATATCCCTTGATTTCTCTAAAATGATATGTACGTTCTTAGTCAATATTAGGAAAAAATAACAGGATGGTTAATATTTTAGGTCCCAACGCAAGATATGAGGTTCTGATCAGCATAAAATTCTACGACTATGTGCGTATGTCAGCCTGTGGTAATCGGTGTCAAAAGGGTCAACTTGGATGGTAAGCATGTTATGTCCGAAATTATTAAACACAAATAAATAACAATAATAAAACACAAAGGATAGTCATTTATAATATTTGCCCAATTGAGTTTAGAAGCTAGTATGTCTAATTTGAAGATCGGTTCAGATATAGCTATATCTTCCAAATATATTGTTCATCCGATTTGTTGTATTTGTTACCCACAGCCATAATATGGACTTCCGTAACAACGATATTCAGGGAAATAAATCAAATACAACTCAGAAATATCTTTGCTGAATTTTATCGAGATCGGTTTAGATTTGGATATAGCTCCCATATATATCTTTATCTGATTTCAAATTAATTTTGAACCAAATGGGCAATACAAGTCAGAATCTAAAAGATACAAATGCTTCGGAATATTTAGTCCTTTGAACTTTAAATTACAATTATAATCATAGCGTGTATGATTAAATTCCCCCTTAAAATCTTTTAATTGTAATGTGGAGCTCTACAAACTTAGCAAAGTGGTGTAGGGTTTCATAAAGTCGGCCCCGCCCGATTTAAGGACTTTCTTTACTGGTTTTATTTTAAAATGAATCATAATTGAAATAATTGTGCAAATATAGCTCCGAATTGTCTGATCAAAATATTAATTTTAACCAACAAAGTTGTTTTGAAAACAGAAAATTTTAAATTGAAATTTTAAAGATAACAACAAATTATTTCTCACTCTGTAAAAAGAGGCAAAAAACACTTGCAATATTTTGTTATTTCAAAACATATACAATCACAAAAAAATGTTGAGGTTCTCTGCCTACCCCCGCTTTAAACAGAGATAAATAATTTGTTAGCTTTAATTTTTCAATTTTAAATTTTCTGTTTTCAAAAAAACTTCGTGGGTAAAAATTAATATTTTGATCAGATAATTCGGAGCTATATTTTGCACAATTATTTCAATTATCATTCATTTCACACTAAAAAGGGGATATAAATGTCCTTCAAAGATGTATAAGTTGACATTTACAGAAATTTTATATAACTTTGATAAATTTATGTTTAATAACTTCGGACATAACATGCTGGAATACCGATTACCACAGGCTGACATACAGACATACGTAGAATTTTACGCTGATCAAAAACTCATATCCTGTGTTGGATCCTAAAAGATTATTTCTATGAAAAACAAAAAGTTTGACAAACATCACATCCTGTTATTTTTCCCAATATTGACTAAGAAATCAAGAGATAAGAAAAAAAGGCTAACAATTTGGAAGGACAATTAATTTGTCGATCAATGTATAATGAATTTATATTCCTTACATGTGAATTCGGACCTGCATAGAAAATTTTCTGTCACAGACTGTAGTTCCCATTACGAACTCTAAATAATTTGAAACAATTCCGGTTAATAATGTCGCTAATATCATCAAAATACTGAATATCGGGAGGTACCGTTATATGGGGCTATACGAAGACGTGGACCTCATAGATAATTTTCTGTCGTAGGCTGTGGGTATCCATTTCGAACTTCAAATACCAAAATTGAAACAATTCCGGTGAATTATGTAGCTAAAATCATCAAAATACCGAATATCGGGAGGTACCGTTATATGGGGGCTGTATGAAAAAGTGGACCTACATGGCCCATTTACGAACTTATCCTGTCAACTGGAAAAATAAACATATGTGCAAAATTTTAGCCTTCTATCTCAATTCGTTAGAAAGAATTGACATACAGACAGACGGACATCGCTAAATCGACTTAGAATTTTACGCTGATCAAGAATATATATACTTTGTTGGGTCTAACATGAGTATTTCGAGGAGTTACAAACGGAATGACAAAGTTAATATACCCTCCATAGTATGGTGGAGGGTATAACAAGTTAAAGAGTATTTGTCGGTTTTGCCGACAGAAGTATACCCTCAGCCAATGTACGATTATTTAAAAATATTTTGACTTCTGTTATGATTATTCAAATGTTTAACCCCTTATGGAGTAGGTTCCGAAAGAATGGGCCATTTCGCATCGTACCTAAATAAATATGATATAAATAATGCGACGTGCCAGGTTTGGACTATATTGGTAACTTCCTGCACTTTACATAACATATATGATAATTTTTAGAAAATGTTAACGTGCGAGAGCTACCAAATATAGTCGATTGAAGCATTCCATTTACATGTTTCATCTAATTCATATAAAAATAATGGTATGAGCAATATTACAAGAAGAACATTTATATCCACTTTATGGAAAATGATAAATTCCATATTCTTCTCAGGTTTCTGGAAAAGAGAGATATATTTAGATATAGCAGGTTGTAAAGAATCGCTGGCTTGTTTCGCATGTTATTACAGATAAAAGTGTTGAAAAAGTGACCCTTTGTGAATGAGGTACCAGAAGGGGTTCACAGATATTGTAGTAGCAAAAAGGTTTGTATTTGTGAATTTTGAGGAGAGTTGGATGCTTATTTCGCTTTCTTTGAGCCTTTGTGGGGGAGATACCAGAAGGAGTGGACCGATATATCCCATTTTCGCAACAGATCTTTTGATAGTGAAAATAATGGGATGTATTAAATATAATTAGAACCAGATGCTTGTTTCGGATTTTATAAACGTTTTGGTTATTCAAAACTTTGAGGGGAGGTACCAGAAAGAATGGTCCGATATCTACCGTTTTTATAGATTGAAATATTCAGATGTGCCAAGTCTAAATGGAATCGGATGTACATTTCGCGTTTTAATAGCTTAATGGATATTCAAAATACCGAAAGGAGTGGACCGATATATTTCATCTTAACACCAGATCTTAGGTTTATGAAAATATTGAGATGTGTGAAATTTTAAGACAATTGGATGCATACATCACATTTTATAAGAGTTACAATTATTCAAAATTTTGACCCTTTGTGGGGGAGACACTTAATAGAGTGGACCGATGTTATTCATTTTTGCATCTGGTCCAGAACTGACGCAAAAATTAGGATTTGCAAAGTTGGAGAAATATCGGATTATTGCTTCTCTTTCTGTGCAGAAAATATGTTTTTTTGTTTTGGAAAATTTCGGCCTTTTGTGGGGGAGGTACCAGAAGTAGTGGACCGATTTATTTTATCTTAGCGCCAGACCTTTGGGTTAATAAAATTATTGCGAATTGTGAAAATTGAAGACAATCGGACTTTTAAATCAAATTTTATAAGAATTGTAGTTGTTTAAAATTTGGACACTTTGACTCACTGATAGAAATATTAGGATTTGCAAAGTTGGAGCAAAATCGGATTATCGTTTCGCTTTCTATGCAAAAATTATTTTTTGAAAATTTCGACCTTTTGTGGGGGAGGTCCCAGAAGGAATAGACCTTGGTTTGATAAAAATATTGGGATGTGTGAAATTTCAAGACAACCGGACTGTTACATCACATTTTATAACAGTTGTAATTATTCAAAGTTTTGACCCTTAGTGGGGGAAGTACTTAATGGAGTGGAGGGACATTGTCTATTTTCGCACCTGTTCTATTGTCTTTCTGTGCAGAAAATATATATATTTTTTTAAATTTCGACATTTTGTGTGGGAGGTACCAGAGGGAGTGGATATATTTTATATTCACACCAGACCTTGGGTTAATAAAATTATTGAGATGTGTAAAATTTGAGGACAATCGGACTCTTACTTCTCATTTTATAAAAGTTGTAATTGTTCAAAATTTGGACCCTTTGTGGGGGAGGTACCTGATGTAGTGGATCGACCTAGCACTGATGAAAATATTAGTCTTCGCAAAGTTGGAGCAAAACCACATTATCCTTTCTCTCTCTGTGCAAAAAATTATTTTCTTTAAAAATGTTGACATTTTATGTGGCAGGTTCCAGAAGGAGTGGACCGATATTTTCCATCTCCGAACTCGATCTAAGTTTGGCAATAATATTACGATATACCAAGTTTGGACCAAATCGGATACTCCCTTCGAGAGTTATCGTGCGCACCAGCCAGACAGACGGACGGACATCGCTAGATCGACACCAAATGTCCTGAAACGGATTTGGTCCAAAGAGACCTAGGGTCTAAAACCGTTATTTCGACTAGGCACGTTTTGGCCGAATCAAATGATATATACCCTCTGCAGCCATATGGCTGAGGGTATAATAATGTGTTATTTTTTCACTATCGATAATTTCCAATAATTCCGCCTTTGATTTGTAGCCGAATCTGTTAGGCAACAAAAACATCACATCATCAAACCTAATCATTCATAATATTTTGTTTGTTTATTAACTAAAAGACACTAAGCATAATTAACATAAACAACTTACATTCTAAAATAAAATAAAAATGGTGATATTTAAATAGAAGGCTATTTTTCGTCGTTGGTTCGTGAATATAAATATGTGTGTATGTAGGTGAGTATATTTGCAGGATAACAATGGATTTCTATGATTAATAATGAGTGGTGCATGAGCTATTATTAATGTTATGGCCACAAAAGTCATATATGCGGGTTCCACTACACAACTGGGAGCGGGTAATGTTTCAGTCAATATTCTCAAATGTTTTTGATATAAATCGTAGTTTAACTTTCGGTATTATCTACCGAACGCATTTAATTGCCACAGAGGGTGGCACTGCACCTATCGTCTCATAATAGTATTTACATAACAACAAAGGTATTTGTCATTTTTATACTACAAACATTCTTCAGTCTCTTCCAAGGCTATGGCGACCGATGGCGGCAATTCAACATCCAACAATTTTGCAAACGTTTCGGCATCTTCCTCCTCTAGATTGTCCTTTCCACAACTGCGTTCTTGCATTTCAATGTCCAAAGTGCCATGCTGCCTTTGAAAGGAAATCAGAAATATGGTTACCGATATAACGATGAATAGGAATGCTGTGCCTGAGCTAAGTATTATTATGGTCGTGGACCTATTCGAACCATCATTAACAGACACAGGCAAAGCTTTGCCTATGCCAGCTGACTCATCAGCCAAATTTCCGTTAAAAGTTTGTCCCGCATCTTGAGGGGGATAAGTTTCGAACATTGTGGCCACGGCATCGTCGTCTATGAGGGCAGTGTTCACAGAGCGTGAACCTTTTACGGGGTTGGTGTTATTAAATCCATCCATTGGAATTTCTTCCGTAATTTCAAGAGGGCCCACTGTGGTACTAGCAATATAAAAATGATTGGTAGGTACCTCCTCTGATATTTGTTCCGAGATGGGACGATTGAACTCGATTGTGGCTGATATATCCTTCGATTCCATTTTAGTACCACTATCTGATAATTCTGCATCATCTCCAGCATTTTGATTTTCCGTTGAAGAATCGTTAAAATCTATAGTCTCCGTAGTACTCGACATGACATCAATATCTGTTTGATCTTCCTCTTCAGAGTTGTAATGTTTTGATGCGGACTCAACTTCTTCCTTATCGACTTTAATATCGGCATCGTTGCTATTGTGGCCATCTCCGTCATAAATATCAGCATTCATAATCTGTTCCTCATTATTCTCATTTTCATTAGCTTCAGGTTTAGCAGGAAAATCCTCTACAATAACAGTGGGATGAGGTACCTCAATAATAACCTCGGCTTCTCTTTCCGTCACCAATTCCGGTTGAATTGTCGTTTCAGGCACATCTATAAAAATATCATTCACGTCTAGAACCTTCTTAATTACGACGTGTTCTGAATCATCAGGCATTGCTGTAGTTTCTTCCTCAGCTATTATATCTAAAGATGTCTTTTGTGCAGCTTCTTCGATTTCCTTAAGCGTCTCGTCCTCATTAATGGGTACAGTAGAGGACAGAGATTCATCAAGAACTACTGATAGGGCATCGTCATTTTCATCAGATTTCCCAATGGAATCTTCGTTTTCTAAGAGGGCAACATCAGAAGCAGTTGTTGTTGTAGGTTCTTCGATTTCTCTTCGAGATTCTGCTGGGTGTACAATGCTAGTAGCCAATTTTCCAACATGATTTTCTAGTCGATCATTGTTTGTATCAAAGACTTGTTGATTTTCCGTGTTTTCTTTGACATATTCTATATCTTCTTGTGAATGTTTTGGGGCTTTCTCGTTTTGCCGTTGAAATCCGTTTGATTCAGAAGAAAGCACTTGATGATCATGGTTCGATTCATTTGAATTATCTGATTCCAGGGACGATAGCAATGATTCGGAAGTATCATTACTGTTCTGATCTTCTAAGTTACGAGCTTCACGTGCGCTGTCTTCATTCGGTACTTCCACATGTAATTCCAGATTTTGTGTCAATTGATCTGAAATTAATATTCTCTTAGTGATGGCTAGATTATAAAGTCAATGTAGTTTTTACCTTCGGATATCGACGAGTCTTTGAGTTCATCCGACTTTTCCGTTGTCGATTCAACATTGTTCCGCATTAATGCCGGTTCATTTAAGTCTTGACTTAGAGTTTCCCTGATTTCGGGTTCGGAAATATCCTTCAGTATTTCTAGCACGGGCGATGGCTCCAGTCCCTGCTCCATTTCTATTTCAGTTTTTACAGATTTTCTTATGATCTGTTCTAATTCTGTAGAATCTGCAGGGCTGACTTCGAATGATTTTGGTACAAGAATGGATGATAGCGAGTGAGTTGTATCGTTTTCTGCGAATATATCATTATTGACGTCCGAATCTTCGGTGTATATTGATTCTTCGGCAAATGTCTGGTTATCTGAAAATAACATTAATTTTATCAGATTATATCGGATTGTAGGATGATAGGAGAAGAAAAAAGAAAATGTTGTTCACTGCCAGTTCACCAATTGCATTGCTTAGAATAGCATTTTCAGTTACCTTGTAACATTTATACTTATACCATAAAACCAACTAAATGTTGACAAATCGAGCAAGTATTTTCAACTGCCATGTGAAGTTGTTGGTTAAGAGAAAGTGGAAAAAAAAGCGATAAAATGGTTTTAATTATGTCCGTCTAAGATTAAATTTTGTACATTTCAATTCATTTTTTTAGTTTTGCTTCTAACATGGACTACATAAGGTCTCCCAGAAGGCCCGTCTGACAACCAAGTTACCCCTCAAAATACATATTGTGATTCAAAGAGAGTCAAATCCCAGTGGTGGAAAAATAAGATTATTGTCAAATAGTTGTCAAAAATAGTCTTTTTGGGCCGATATTTTGTAGGCCTTGGCTTTTACTTAGGATGACCTATAAAAAGTTGGCTCGTTAGCCAAACTGATCAGTAAACTGCCGAAATACATAATTTTAATTTGAAATTTAATGAAAGTCAAATTACACAATTCTTGAAAAATTAATAAGTTTACAGTCATATTGTTGTCAAGGAGTAGTCTTCGCGTTCGAACTTATATAGTCCCTGCTATCGACATTTATGTGGAAATGTAAACCAAGCTGATTAGGTTTACATTTCCACATAAATGTCGACATCAACTCCGTATACATACCCTAACAAACTCACCTTTATTTTCTAGCGCTGGAATGTCGGTTTGTGAATCCACTATGTCCAGTCCAACATCATGGTACACATCCGGTTCCAATTGTGGTGAAGTTTGTTTGTCAGCGGTGATTGCCTGCGCTAAAGCGTCCGTGGTGTTATTAGATAATTCGGAATCGATGTCGAATATTGTAGTTGTAACTGTTATCGGAGTATCAGCGGTGGTTGTCTCCGCATATTCTTCGCATAAAATACATTTAACTGCAAAATTAAAAAAATTAGTTAAATGAACTTTGTATATTCAAAAGTTATTAAATATTAAAGTAAATGCACTTTGCTGCTACCTTAAGCAGTTCTTAGTTCACTTAATAAGGTGTAATGCATCATGCAGAAGGAAAAAATGATAAGCAAATAGTCAAGTCGATTTACGCATGTACCTCCGTCGGTAACTTAGTGACAAAATGAAAGTACCCGCTGAAATCGAAGAAAGCTAAAAGCATTTGTCCCGTTCCAGAACGGCCAGAATGTAAAAGTTTTTTTTTACGGTAACCGATTTTCCTTTATTAAATCGACAAAAATTGCAAAACTAATAGAATAATGCAGGCTCTGGGACAGAGCAATTATTTCACTTTTTTGTAAAAAAATCCTACCACAGTTCTGTTTTTGAATAACCTTATTATTGAAAAAAAAAAAAAAAACGTTGTTAAATGCCTGACACCTTCATACATACATATGTACCAAATGTCAGCATATGTTTATAAGTACCTACATGCAAATTACAATTGTTGTTGTTAAGAAAACTGGAAGGAAAGGTAGGCACATACCTACGTAGGTACATACGCAACTCCGTAGATCCTCATCTATTCCATTCACTATGGCTTGGCCAAATGGGCATTGTTTTGAAAATAAAATGAAAAGATAAATTCTAAGAATAATATTATCGCATAGTCGTTAACAACAATGACATACCGGGCGTCTCTGTGTGTGTGGAACGAATTTCTTTCGATAATCTTTAGAATTTCAATTTTGTATTGTTGTCAATCAGTCCATGGGGAATAGCAGCACAAAAACAACAACATACGGCGACAACAAATACCCATACGATATTCTTTGTGGTGTAGAGTGTTTCTGTTCGATGCTCGAATGGGCGAGAAATGCAGGCGTCGGCCGGCAGCAAATGAAATAAATATAAAAAGATATAAGAGCAGGAGTGGAGTGAAGTTATAAGGCCTGAAGCAAGGGCCACTGTCCAGTCTGCACTGAGAATTGATTTCACATTACAATCACTACACTACACTACACCGATAATAGACTCAACAAAATTAAAAACATCAAAATTATCTTTTTTATTTTTAGAATTATATGTTCTGCTATTTCAAGTATCGATATGTCGTTATGAGACCGATTTGCACCCAAAAGCTACCACTGTAAATTAAAAATGTACAAAAGCCTACATATCGAAATGCGTAATATGAATGGTTATCCCGATTGAATTGAATTTATAATATAGCCAAAACATGTGGGGCCGGCCATGTGATACCCTAAAATTCTATAAATGTAAACATTACTGGAGTTTTTTCTCCAATTTCCGAATGACGGGGTATATAAATAAATCTGAACCGATACCCTAAAATTCTATAAAAGTAAACATTACTGGAGTTTTTTCTCCAATTTCCGAATGACGGGGTATATAAATACATCTAAATACGTTTAGATCTGAACCGATATTTCCCAAAAACTCACGCTGTTATGGGAACATTTCGTACATTTCATGAATATGCATAATTTTGGTATATTTTATACCCTCCACCCTGGAAAGGGGGTATATTAACTTTGTTATTCCGTTTGTAACATCCCTTAAAATTCGGTGTATACCCTATAATAGTCAGCATAAAATTAAGTCGATTTAACCATGTCCTTCTGTTTGTCTGTCCGCTTCCCAATATGGCAGAACAATTTTTATTGTTGTAGGATGGTTGGTATTGAAAATAATATGTTTCGGTCCAGGTTTTGGTATTGCCGCCATATAGCGGTACCTCCGGATATTCAGCATTTTGATGATTTTAACCACATTTTCCCACGGATTTGTTTAAAAATTGGTATTTGTAGACCATAATGGGTGGCGAAACTTTGTATGTATATGTCCAAGTTTTGGTATAGTCCCCATATAACCGTACCTTCCGATAATATGTGTTTTGATGATTGTTGTCACATTTTTCCACGGATTTGTCCAAAAATTGGTATTTGTAGCTCGTAATCGGTTCTAGCTCCCGTGGTGAAACATAGTATATATAGTATTTTAATGATTTTTGCCTCATTTTTCGACGGAGTTGGGTTCAAGTTGATAATCCTAGTCACATTTACCCACAAAATTGTTTCAAATTTGGTATCTAAGAAGACATGGTAGGTGACAATCCTTGATGTATAAAATTGGAGGTTTTTGGTGCATGTTTTCTTCTTAAAATGTTATGATTATCTTCTCCAACAGCAGGCTTCTATTCTGACTCTCCTAAACATATGCAAAATTTCATGAAAATTAGGCCATGATTGGGACCTGTAGCGTGATTGCAAATAAACCCATTCATTGTGGAGACATTTATTCCCGATTTCCTTAAGTTCATAAATTAACTTTACCTAAAACCAAGTATTACTATATTATCGACGCAGTAATCTACTCTGCTCGGCAAGATAAGAAGATTGATCGGCCATCTAGGGGCTATATTTGAAGGTGTTACAATATGTTTGGCCCTCAACACATAGCGTTGTAAGGTATAAAAACCAATATTATCTGTGAGTGACAGCGGTTTTTGGTAAATTGTTGGCTTCCATTATTAAATACTACAAAGCATGAACTCTATAATGCTTGAAAAATAAGAATCGAAGAAAAAGACAATACTTAAAGGACATTTTTTGTCACACGCACATTACTCTTTTAGAAACTGAAACACCTAATTTCATAAAGTATATTGCATAAAAATTCTCTAGTGTGGGCAGGGGCCTTAGTATTCGGAAGATTTATTTTGAATTTCTCATTGCTGCATTACGGAGTGCATATATTTTTAATTTTCTTTCAATACGCTCGTCAATTTTCAATGACCTCATGTTCTGCATGCCATAGATTTGGGATCACCAAATACACGAGTGGTGGCATTTGCCTCACCCCCTAGTTTAGGGCTTTACCACATTTCAACCAAGTCTATACATGAATCAATGAGAATAAAGTGACTTCCATAAGATTCACGCCGAAACTCAACAGACAAAAAGGGCATTAATAACATGTGGCCACAAGGCTCTAGAAGCCCCACCCCCTGGTATAGGAAATATTGCAGCGTGTCCTTCTGTCTTATCTTTCAGTGTGTAGCGAACTAGTGGGGTGCATACTGGAAAATCCAAAAACAAATAGCAGCAGTAAACGTGGTTACGCAATGCATCGGACTTTTCGAGGGAAGACATAAACCATTACTCAGTAGAAACCACGATAGCGGATAAGCGATTGGAAGCATTTTAATTGCACTTGGGACAAAATACAATTGGTTGTAGTTTTTAAATTAATGTTATTCAGAGGCAGCCAGACAATGAGGGCTACACAAAGAGCTCCAAAAGTCGGAAGTTAATTGAGATTATAATTTTTAAAATAAGTTGTAATAAAAAAAATAATTGTGGCTCAAAATGATAAAAAATAAACATGAACGAAGACAGTCCCATGGCACACAGCGTCTAAGGGCAAAATCGCAAACAACATTATAACCGTTCAAATGCTAAAAAAAAGTATGAACTTTAAAGAATTAAGTTTTTACAGCGTTTGTGTGGTTTTGCTGAGGTTGAAAATTGTACTTTGCCAAAATAAATTTTAGTTTTATGTATTGTAGAATGTTTTTTGGTATAGTAATTGTCGTATAGAGGGCATCGTCATTATTTTTCGAGCATATTATTCAAAACATTATTTCTCTTAAATCCCCCGTAAAAGTGAAAACTTTTAAATTTGAGCGATTTAAAAAGGTGTGTGGTATTATTATTTGTGAATTAATAGTAACATCTACTGTTTTTTAAAACACAGAATATTTTCTCTGGAACATGGTACAATAAATACAAGTCACTCTAAATAATAACATCAATTTTTTCCTAGGGCCTGTTACTGCGTACTTTTCCAAGCTTCCCGGGCCGCTTTTCCCGAAACAAACAAAAAAATGTTCATCTTTGGCCCAATTGGCAAGGTAGAAGAATACGGGGAGATGCAACAGGATCTATAAATATAAAAGACATGCTGGGTCGATGGGCTACTGTTTTAAGAAGTTATACATAAATTCTATCACTGAACACAACAACAGTTCTTGAAACACGAACATGTAACAGGGAGAACTGCAACAGGGTGCCTCCTCATGACTCCTGTGGACCATTTACATGAGGAGACGAAGGTTCTTCCCTTACGTCAGCATATTCATATGCTTTCGTTGCAGTACCTGCTCGGGTGTTATCGTAGGAGTCACCCTAACCACCATATGGTGGATAGAACTCCCCCAACCAGGCGTGTCAGGAAGGACCTACATGATCTAGCGAGAGAGAGGTCCAGCGATATAAGAGAGATCCCCTAGATCATGAACCCTATCAAGCGGGTCTGATAAGCATTTAGATGCAGTTGCAGAGGTAGTTAATAATTACAGTATGAATGCCATCCTCGGAGTCCACCCCCCATCCATTGCAGCTGAAGAACGTCGACTGCCTAGGCAAACCAGGGTAGTTTTGGCCCAACTACGTTCATGGTGGTGTAGCCGTCTCAATTCGTATTGGGCACGAATTGACGAAGATGTGCGGAACGCCTGCCCAGCGTGCGATACAGGCCCGCACAATACACTGCACCTGTTTAATTGTCCAGCCAAACCTACCCAACTCCGTCCAGAGGATCTCTGGCTACAGCCCATAAAGGTACCAGAATTCCTAAATCTGGACATTGAGGAAGAGCCGGATTAGTTAGAATGTAAACAACAGAGCATGTTAAAACTGCTACAACAACAACAGTTCTTGAAAAACAATTTCAAAACTTTATTTGATATGATTTGAGGAAACGGACGATACGTACATATTTACGCATGAAAATGCAAGAGAATGCCGGAAATAATATTCAAATACACACAGATAAGTAAGTATTCGATCCTTAGGTCATTGTTTTTTAACGCATCGGGGCAGAAGCCTTTTGAAAACATTCTGAGCTGCGTTCAACGCCATCGCCCAAGTATCGACAACTCGTTGTCTAGCTTTTTTACCCCACTCTCGGACGCTGCTGATAAATACGAACGAGATGCAAAGAGAAAACGAGCCAGTGTCAGTGGCAACAACCGGCTGCTCAACTACTGGTTTTTGTAGCTGTGAAACATGTTGCAACATAGGATAGGCCTACAATTAAAATAAAAGTATTTATCCAGCCTAAATCTAGAAGCTAGAATAGCCAAAACTCGTTAGGCGGTAATGTAAACCAGATACCTTCTGCATTACCAGCTGAATGAAATTAATGGGCGGGCGAAGGTTGTGAGTTCCATTCACAGCATTGGCAAAAGGAACGATATATACAATAAACGATATGTACAATAAACGATATAAACAATAAATGATATATTTGGGCTTTTGAAAAACGTTGACCTTTACGGGCAATGTTCTGCCACCGGAGGTAGGACACATTACAAGGTAAAGATATTAAATTTAAAACAAATCCTTCAGAAAATGTGGTTAAATCGTCAGAATATCGAATGATGGGATGTACGGAACGATATATACAATAAACGATATGTACAATAAACGATATAAACAATAAATGATATATTTGGGCTTTTGAAAAACGTTGACCTTTACGGGCAATGTTCTGCCACCGGAGGTAGGACACATTACAAGGTACACATATTAAATTTAAAACAAATCCTTCAGAAAATGTGGTTAAATCGTCAGAATATCGAATGATGGGAGGTGCGGTTATATAAGGGCTGTAGGAAAAACAAAATTTGTAAATGTTTAGCCTTCTACCACACTCAAAGATAGATTATGTTAACAAATTCTATTATGTATTACCATTTCTCAAAATTGACAGCGTACACTCTCCGTTTTAGTGCAGAATCTATTGCCAAAAATTCATTTTCAAATTATTATTTGGTAAAGGAATTTTTTACCAGGAAACCGTTATGTTATTGCTAAAAGCAAATAAAAATAGGACCAAACTGTGCGAATTTTTTTTGGTATCGAAAATAGTTTGTTTTTATTTTTCAAAACAATAAATGCATTAACAAAATTTGCATAAATAGTCGGACCCACTTACAAAAAAATTGTAATCAGTAGTGGAATTAACTAACTCATTTTTTGAGTTAACACCAAAAGTCGATAAAATTAAAATGTTTAAAATTTCTATAATTAACGATATTTGTCGGCAGCGACGAAATCAAAGTTGTCGCTAAGATCGACCGATAGATACCAATGTTGCCAACTTTATATGTACGTCATAATGGGTTCTAGGTCAGTGGCTAGACATTGTATGTATAGGTCGACGTTTTCGCATAGCCCCCACGTAATGGTACCTCCGGATATTCAGTATTTTAATGATTTTTGTCACATTTGTTCATGAATTTGTCTAAAAAATTGTATTTATAGTTCATAATTATTTCTAGTTTCGGTGACAGAACATTGAATATTTAGGTCCATGTTTTCCTACTGCGCACATATAATGATACTCACAGATATTCGGTATTTTGATAATCCTAGTCACACTTAACGACGTAATTCTTTCAATTTTTTTTTTTTGTTTAAGAAGATTTGGTAGATGCAAAACCTTGTAGTATAAAATTGTCTATAGACGCTTCTATTTTGGTATGGCCCCCATATAACGGCCTCACCCACTTTTTGTGCAAGGTTTAACAGCATTATTCAAACGGTCTTGCTGGTATTTATAGTTTAAAGTGGAACACGTTTGAATTCAGATAATTTTATATAAAAATGTTTTTTTTTTACCTAATGGTGGAGGGTGAAATTTGACAATGTAGATTACAGAAAATGCAGAGCTGTGAATGCTACGTTTGAAATGAGTTTGCCTTTATTTCATTGAACCATGATCATTCCTCTGAATGTAAAGTTGCACGGAAAAGCGTCATTATATAGTACACGTATACATTAGGTATAGTACATCTTGCAATTTTGAAAAACATAAAAATACGAATGCGGTGCCATTATTTCATTACAGTGAGGAAAGACTCTGCACCATCGGAGTAGGCCATTTGTGGCGAGGTTTTTCCTATCACCATGTAAATCCAATGTCTATAATCTACAATTTGGAACTTAAATTGATTTTGAACTTAATGTATACTTTTCGATGATCCAAAAAGTACGTATTCACAACTGTATCACAAGATATGTACAACTTGTACATATGGAAAATTTGACATTACATATGTTAAAAACATTCCCTCTGAAAGAGCTTTAATCGTCGATGGTATTATTTTTTCTATATTTTTCGTGTCCGATTATTGAAATGTGTACGTAAATAATACCGAACTTGCACACTCTAATGTGCAGGCATTCGCTTGTACTTACGAGATACTGAAAGAGCCAAAACTACAAACACAAGCAAAGATCTCTTGTGAAATGGTTTCGTGTGGCTATTGGTGGTAAACGTGTGTTGTTGCAGATGCTGATGGCGATGTTGTGGATCTGCTTTATGATCATGAAGATCTTGATGTTTGTTGCAGCTGCTCGCCATTTTCAGTGGCACTTTTTGGTTGTCGCTCTAGAATCTTGGCTTTTTTATCGCCGAAGTGTGTAGCATAAGACACAATACGGAGAACGTTTGAAATGATGGAACAACTCGGTCAGAGGCCTGTGACTTTTCGTTGACAACTGAATCCCAGAAACACTTGTACTTCAGCTTAACTTATCCACTAAGAGGCAGAACTTCAATCAATACTTTTATTGACGCATGCACTCACGCTCCACTCCGCGGCGTTCACGAATCGTATTTTGTTTCACTTCTTTTGCGGAAGTTACTTTCGTTTCTTGTCACCGGTTTTAGCTGGGCTGCTATTATAACCTTGTAACTGACTATCGATATTTGTACTTTTTAATTAGAAAGTCCGAGTGACGTTGGCTCGTCTCTCTTCTGGCGTTTTTATTTAAATACAGTGTAAATTAATGAAAACAAATGAATCACTTCCCGCATCTCCGCCCGCGACTCTTTCGATCATGCGGCTCTTTAGAACTGATGACTGAAGATTTCTCAACTCCAGCTAAGAACTGCAAAGCAAATGCGCCTAGCACATGAGTGGTAGCTCGACCGAACACACAACTACCTACTTGTTGAGAATTCTCTATCATTTCCCCGTTTACATTGTTGTGAGTTGCCATATCTTTATATTTTGAAACTAGGAATTTTGTGGGGATAGCAATAGAACACCAGGAATTGTAGAAACCAATTAATATTTCATCGAATGAATTCATACTTCTCTCTGATTGTGTGAATTGGGAATAAACATAAAAATAAAGATGGTTTTCAAGGCTGGACGTACTCATTTGACATCTTTCACAAATGTGGAACACATGTATTGCACGAATGCGACTTATTCCTTCGCTAATTTTTAAACGTAAGCAATTTCGATAAGAGATATGTGACCAGTATGCCAATACTTGTTAAATAGCCTTGAAATATTTTGCACTTAATTGATGTCTTAATAAGCTAGGTTTCCAATCATCAATAATTCTAGATTCAAGTTTCGCTTGAGTGCTTATTGTGTGCCATTACTCGTATATTTACGAAAACTTTATTCTAGGTCAAGTTCTTCTTCTTAGCATTGCAGCACATCGGAGATATTTTTGGAGTATTCCCTCAACAAGCACTGTAATGTCGTAGTAAAATTTCAGAATACAAGATTAGGGCTTCAGTTTCGTTCACTTACAATTCCGACTAAAAATGTTTTTTTTTTTGTGAATTGTAACTATTTTTTTATTAGTTCGAAATTCTTTACTTTTGGGAATTTCAATAATAACGATATAAATAAATGATAAGGAAAATAAAAACAAACTGTATAGTTAGAATTTCATAAAAAAATTACATTTAAAAAATGGACTGAAGGGGTGCTTAGATTTCGCCGATACCGTAGACTTTAAAAATTAAAATTGCTAGGGATAAATTATTTGTGGGAATATCTGAAAGTGGCAACTCTTTTGAAGCTCTCTCGTGAGCGTATTTCTTTTTTACATTTCTCTTGCTCTCTTCTCACACAAAGTAACATTCAATTGCTGCATTTGACATACATGCGAGAGTGAAAACCGACCGTGTCAAGATGTTGGTTAATGGTATCCATATCCATACTATGAATATTATGTTTTACCACATTTGCTGCTGTGTGTGTGTGTAAGTTCTGCTTACTCTGAAATTCATTCAATATTACAATATTGCTATACCCTCCACCATAGTACGGAGGCTATATCAAGTTTGTCATTCTGTTTGTAACACCTCGAAACATACATTTTAGACCCCACAAAGTATACATATTCTTGATCAGCATAAGGGTGTTTTTTAAGCCCGATAGAACTTGAATTTGTAAAAAATAACACAAAAAATTAAATTTTAGTCAATTTTTTTTATTCGAAAGATCAATACGTGACATTAACATTTGAAAATGATTTCGGGCATATGGACACCGCGGCTGTTCTTGACGAAGTGCATTCGGGACGTCCATTTTTTGGCCACTTTTTCGAGCACTGCTGGCCGTATGTTACAAATAACACGAACAATGCTGGCCTCCAAGGCGTCAATTGTTGCTGGATTGTCAGCATAAACCAGTGACTTCACGTAGCCCCACAGGAAATAATCGAGAGGTATCAAATCGCACGACCTTGGAGGCCAATTGACAGGTCCACTTCTCGAAATCAACTTATCGCCAAATTTTGATTTCAATAAGTCGATGGTTGAGTTTGCCGTATGTCACGTAGCGCCATCCTGTTGAAACCACATCTCCTCCGGATCAATGTCATCGATATTTTTAAACAAAAAATCATTGATCATGTTGCGGTAAGGATCTCCATTACCTAACGCGAGCTCCGGCCTCATTTTTGAAAGCGAGAAAACCGCACCATACGGTGCATTTTTCTGGATGTAATGGAGTTTGTAGGGTCTCTTGTGGATTGGTCTCACTCCATATGCGGCAATTTTGCTTATTAACAAACTGAAACAAATATACTGAAACAAATAAAAAAGTTTCATCAAAATTTAATTTTTTGTGTTACTTTTTACAATTTAAAGTTCTATCTACGTTAAAAACACCCTTTATATCGATTTAACGATGTCCGTCCGCGGAAATCACTCCAGTTTCCGAACGAAATGAGGTAGGTTGATAACATTGTACTCAAATGTATGTTATGTTTGCAGTACTTTTTGGTTCATGTAGATCCACGTTTTGATATAGCTCCCATATAATGGTTCCTCCCAATTTTCGGTATTTTGGTGGTTTAAGCGACGTGAATGATACTACATCCCATCGTAGTGGATACTTCAGCCTATGAAAGAAAAATTTCTGTGCCATTGAAATTCCAAAAAATGCAACAACTTACGCCGCAACAGAAAGAAAATATACTCAAAAGAGCTAAAGAGTTGCTTCGCTTGGCCGAAAGTGGTGAACTGCCGAATTTTGTTTTCTCCAATGAGAAAACATTCGTTGTCCAGCATTTGAGCTGGTCAGCTGAAATTGTGCACCTTCGGTTGGCCACCACAACTCAAGCGCCGGCCATGGTGATGGTGTGGCCGGTCGCTCTCCGCTCGTACTAATCGAACGCGGCATCAGAATAAATACCAAATATTTTCGTGAAAATATTCTGGAGGGTGTATTAAAGCCTTGGGCACGTAAACATTTTGGCCGCAAACCTTGGACATTCCAACAGGACTCAGCACCCAAGAATGGATACAAAATTCAATAAAATTAAAAAAAAAAATAAAAATTATGGCTTTTAACTTTGTTGCAGTTTTTTTTATCTCCTGTAGACCATGCATGTTCTGCCACAGAAGGTAGAACCTATTATGAAATCCAAATAAAAAAATGTTTTGTTTAAATAAAAAACCTCTTGTTTACTTATATTTACAAAGCAAATGATTATCAAAAAATATTTTTAAACAAAGTTTTTTTTGGGTAAATGTAGATGGGTAAAATTTACCACCACGTTATAAAATTTGTCAGCAGTTAAAGGTTAATGTACCCTCCGTATTATTAACATATGTCGAGGATATAAAAATTGCAAAACTAGTTAACACTGGAGCATAGCATAGCATAGCGCTTTCCTTTTCAATTAGTTGATTGCTTACGTCTAGAGTATTCCCCATTCATATTATCATCTATTACAGAGGGCAATGTTTTTCAAAACGAAACCGACCGATGAGACCAAATTTATCATGATTTAAATCTGGCGAAAGGAATGGTCACTTGGCTTTTCCGGCTTTTTGATTGACGACATCTGTAAAAAGCAAGCTCTGTAAGTGTCGGGCATTCACAATTCATTCCCTTCGCCGGGATGAAATCATGATATAGTAAGCGATCAGCAAATATAACAACCCTGTCAGTTTCGTTTGGAAATCATTCCTCTCTGTAATAGAGAGTAATATGTAATTAATCCAATGGGGGAATACTCCAGACTTAAGTAATCAAATATTTATTATTTATTTTCAATTAATTTTAACAGCAAAAGAAGACCATTTGTAAATACCCCTTGAATGTAAGTAAAATAAATCAGAGTTTTAATTTGCTGCCACCCAAAAAAAAAAAAAAAACGAAGACCATTATTTGGTAATAATGGTGATGCTGGAAAATTATTAAAAAAGGCTAAACACGAAAAATTTATTTTTCTTAAAACGTGAAAATGTTTTTTAGTACGTGAATTTTAATAATTAATCTATAGCATAACTGAATAATCTACTTAAAAAACTGCATATTATTCAAAACAATGTACATTAATTTGAAACAAGGAGCCACACAAATAAAGACAAGTAAAAAAGCGGGACGACATTTTGAAACAATCCACAATCATTTCCATTTTAAACTGCAAATGCAAATGAATGGTTGGGGAATGCATTGTTAAATAGCTCTTAGTAACACAAAATCCGGCAATAACATAATTCCTACCAGACATCGTGTACACCGACGTACTTATGTTATTTTATAGAAAGTACAATTTCAACGAAAATATTTCAATGCGTTGGTCTTTACTTATTGGCCGAGTTATGAAACTATAAAACTTAATGCCAGACTTAGCCTGTGCCATGTCCAAATACGTGTGTTCTTAACTTTTGGTTGGAAATATTTTTTACTATTTACGACCGTCGTATTAAGCTTTGAAATTGTCGGCACAACGAAATAAACAAATTGGAAAAGCTACGGATCGAAATGACATTATTGTTCACAACCCAAGTAGAGTAGATGCAATGAATACACAAATTGAAATGTTGTCGATATTAAAAACGCATATCACATTCCAATTTGTTTCGAAAAATGGTTCAACTGATGTTATGGCTCAGGATTGTGATCGTACAAACTATTTTCAAAATAAATTGAATTGTTACTATTGTCGTTTCGAGAAGTGTAATATGTGCTTATGACCCTTGGAGGAGGGAGTAATTTCAAACCCGGGCATTTTTTCTTAAAATTCAAATTCACAATCAAAGAATGGAGAGGGACAGCTTATGTCAACATGACCTCCTCAAACAGATACATTCCTAATTGTTTAGAGGCTCATTAAAACTTCGTTAGAGTAGCAATGCTATATTCATATGAAGTGGCAATAATGGTGACTTCCAAATTAAGAAGGTGCAATGCAACTACATTGCCAAGTCAATTAAGTCCTAGCCAATTTTGGACGACTAATTGGTGGCCCGACGCATTAAAATTTTTATTTATTTTTTTTTTTTAATCTACGAACACTTCCCTTATCAGCCTTCTTTATTCCACTGGTCGTCTCTGCCTCCGAATTGTCCGACGACAACGCATTAAAAAGTAAATATTTGCGTGGCGTCTTTGTTACGACAAATGGGCATATTCGGATGGCTGATATTGAACAATTGTCCGAAAATGGATGGTTGCTTGATGATCCAGCGAGTTGAAAGCAATTATTTAAGGGCATAAACTACACCGTTTATGGTCGCCATAAATTTTCGATTGTTTTTCGTAACTCGTGACGTACACCTACAAAAATACGTTTATTCTTCAATCTCCGTTTGTGTTACTACCTGGACATTTGAAGTGTTTTTCGACAAAAACCTTCAT